GCGACCGCTCGGAGGTAACTTTGCGTGGGGAAAAGTTTGGGGACGATGCCCGACCCACCGCATCCCTCCCTCCAAAGTTCGGCTAAGGTGGCTAACGCTAGCTAGCACAGGAGCAGCTCGCTGGACGTGAGGTGAAAGTTTTTCGGTTGATTCAAAGCGGTCGAAATTGGTCATGTTTGAAGTGGAAAAGGCCCAAACGTTTGTAAAAGTTGTTTGGAGGTGAAAAACCTCCATCCCGGACTGGTTATCCGGGCCTGGCTGCGGCTCAGAGCTAACAGGTTTTAGCCAATTAGAACCGGGCAGCTAGCATCTGTAAAGTGAGGTTTATCTAAGCGAGTGGAGCCACGGAGCGGAAATCCACGTCAGAGCTCTGTTTTAAGAGTCGCTGCTGGAGCCGGTGATGCAAACGGACTTTGACCTGATGGGCAGCATCTTCCCCCAGCGCCCGAGGAGATGCTCAGAGACCAGCCGGCCCCTGTGACCGCTGCCCGACGAACAAAGGTCTGGACCCCGGCTGCTGACCACTGCCTGTGGACGGACCCCAGAGCTCCAGCCCATCTGGACAACCCGAACACCTGGAAGCATCTGTGAAGAGGCTGGTCTCATTTACTTGGAAGCACCTGTGTGCATGCCCCTCATGACAGAGCTGTGTTTGTCCCACACTTTCTGTAGCTGTCTGTGTTTACTCACACTAACAGACCATCTTCCTGCCTGATCTGTCTGTGGTGCAGCCTGCAGTTTGGAGGTCCCGCTTTGTTATGCTAGTTGTTCACCACCTGTGTCCGCGGAGGCCGCTTTTGGATGAAGGATCATGAAGGTGACTGTTACTTTCGGACACACGGGAGTGGTGGTGCCCTGCAGGGACGGCTGGACTGTCCGGGACCTCATCCAGCAGGCCACACAGAGATACAGAAAACTCCTGGAGCAGGTAATTATCAGACAAAAGCATCCGGTTAACATGACAGAAATTCACAAGAAAGCAAGCTTTTGGATGGATGTGTTGGGTTGGTCCATTATTACTGTCTCTGTCACCGTTATCATAACAGAAATGGCAGACAGAGACACGTATATATAATATTTCAGCTATCAGCTAACTCTATTATTCATTGCAAAAGGTTTTTTTTTATGTGTGAAGATTATCATGAACTCCACAATGAGAAATGAGATAAGTTTTTATGAAACCGCACGTTCTTAATGTTTGAGGCTGTCCCTGAAGTTTTAAAAGGGACATTTTTATATCATGAAAGGACCACATGATTTTCACAGCCCAAAGTCTGGGGAAATTAGACAAAACCGCCGAGGTCCAGCCCTCCATAATTGCAGCATAAAAAATTAAAAGCGTATCTGATGTGAATGGCGATGGCCCAGACAGGAGCAGATACCAGTCATTTCCAATTTGGTTGTGAGTGTAAAATGTAAATGACTCTGTCTTGTGATTCTTATAGTGATTCCCTGTCGTGGTCTCGGGGCAGGAACCCCGTGACCCCCATCTCACAACCAAATCATCTCTGACTTGCTTCATATTGGGTCCATTATTCAAAAAGCACAGCGGTTATGTGGATAGATGGCCTCAGTTTTGATTGAAGGAGAGATGTTTCAAAGCCCTGTGTCTGAGTGTGTGTGTGTCTGAGTGTGTGCAGCCGTTTGAGATGCTCCGTTTTTCTAGCCTTCCTTATTGTCTTCCTCCCAGTGCTCCCTTTGCCTTTTAATCTGCTCTCACCTTTCCATATCTCTCTCTCGCTCTTCCCACACAGCACTTATTTATCGCTCCTATCTTCAACAGCTGCTCACCCTCTCGGTGCCGTGTGCACGGCCGAAACCTTTGTTTCCCTTTGATGTGAACTCCTCTTCCTCTTTTACCATTTCCTCTTCTGCTGTGGAGTGGCTCAGTTCCATGTCGATGTGGAGATGCGAGCACATCTATGCCGGTTTGTGGATTCTCTCTCTTTATCTGCAGAAGTGTTAACTATCTACCATCATCGATTATACAGGCCAGTCTGTTTACAGGGTTGAACTCGGTCCTGGAACAAAGGCCCACAGTTCAGTTTGCCTGCCGCCCATTTTAGGTGCGAACTGTATGGAAAGGTTTTTTTGTGCTGGACCCATCTTACTCAAAACCAGCAACATTTTAGCTCTTTATGTCCACTTGATCTTGTTCATGTAGCAGACTGAGGTATGAGACTGGCCTGTGGGAGCTTTGTACACAGTTCTTTTCAAATTCTACGTTGAATAGAAGTTCCTTTTTATTAACCATTTAAAAGGTTGCTATCGTAGTAGTTGTTAACATATCAGTAGAGTTACCAAAAAGGAAGGTATGTTTTAAATACTTAAAATACTTAAACACCCCCTCATTGTTCTCCCGCTTGGAGCTGAACATGACCACATTAAAATGAGCTTGTTCAGAGGTAGATTTTGATAGTTTTTTGGGAATTGTGCACTAGGCTTGTCCCGATCTAATATCTGGATCTGATCGGCCGCCGATATTTGCAAAAAAATGCGTATCGGCCGTCAGGAGAAAACTCTGATCCAGACTCCAGATCCAGTTTTTTTTTTTTAAGTCCGATCCCACACGAGCATTAGCATCTCTAACCCACAGGTCTGTGTCCTAACCATTAAGTTGTTATCAGAGTAAATCCCCGTTCAACATGAGTCGTGACACCTAAGTAAGTAGAGTAAAGAACTTTAAACTTTAGTACATGCTCTGATAGGCCGGGATCGGATCGGAAGTGCAAAAAGCTGGATGGGGACATCCCTGTTGGGAACTTTCCCGTCTTGCCTGGGAACGCCTTCTGACTCCACAGGAAGAGCTGGAGGGTGATGTGCGGGTTTCCCAGCTGAAGCTGTTGCTTCCTGACCCCCCCCCCCACCTCAGATAAGTGGAAGACAGTGGATGGATGGAAAAGTGAAAGGACTTTTCTTGGTGGTGCCACTGACAGAAGCATTTCTTCGGCCTCCTTTGAGGGGCGTGTTCACCCCTCATTTGAGTGACGCCTCGGCGCTTTGACAGGGACACGCTTAGTTCTGCTATGCAGCACCGGCCCCACTGCAGACAGCCAGATGGAAACCCTCTGATTACGATGGACGGAAACAAAAGGAGTCAAAGCTGGGGCCTGACGGCAGGAGTCAGGGAGGAGCACCTGCTGGTTCACCAGCTCCAGCCTCACCTGTGTCCCCCACTGTCAGTTGGCATAATTGGAGCTGCTTTCATGCTCCCACACAAGATTTAGTCACACAGCTGCTGCTTTAATTCCTCGGTGTCTGTCTGTCGTGTGACATGTTGTTGTTTACTTGGAGGATGCATCTTTTCCCCATCGCTGAGGCATCACTGCTGGAAGTTAGTGTGAAGTAATTGTAGGACAAAGTGTTTGTCAGTGGGCTAATGTGATTTGGAAATGGTCCAATATGGGACTGGAGTAAATTAAGAGTCAAGTCATAGTTTGATCTATCAACCAGTACTGAAACACAGAGAAAAGCACGTTCCATATGGACGGGAGGGGCAGGCATGACAGAAAATGACAGAGAAATGAACGTGAACGAGTCCATTTTAGGACTCTGAATCCGAATCTCAGATGGTGAACTCTGAGCCTGGACGGGTCCAGTCAGTTTGAGCCTAAATTTAAGTTTTTTTTTGTGAAGTCTGTACAGCACTGCTGGCAATTTCTCTTTCCCTTTGATCGGTTCATCGGAATTTGTCTCCACCCTGTCCTCCTTTTATATGTCTTACTAGTGTTTTTTCCACTCTCTTCATGTCAGTCAGTCATTTTTCTGCAACACTAATCTGTTGTAGCTGTATAATTATGACTGGTAATGTGTTTCAGGATTAAAACTCTGTGTGTGTGTGTGTTGCACAGCAGTCCAGTCCCTCTAATCTCCCCTCCCAGTGTTTGGAAAATCACATTTTCAAATGTTCACAGAGACAGCTTGCTTTCTGCCCCCTTCCCTTCCCCCATCGGTTTCCTCCTACTTAGAGAAAATGCAGCCTGAATTAAAACATTTCTTTATCTTGGCTGATTCTGTGTGCACCTACTGTTGCTAACTAACTCTGGCAGTCCCATTTATCAGCTACTTTGTTAAGATTTCCCTCAGCTGCGCTGAAGAGGAGCTTAGGCTGAGCACAGGCAGGAAAGAGATGTTGGAGTGAGCTGAGGAAGCAGCGTTGGACTGCTTAAGATTTGCTCTCAAGCTGAGTTTGAGAGAACATCTTGTTTTATTCAGATGTTTTCTTTCTTGTCTTTTTTGTTAATATCCCAGTGTTTCATATCCCTTTGTGTCACACAGTATGGGACCAGAGGATGAGAGTGAAAAGCACCAAAGCTGTATACACACCACTGAAATGCTCCCCAAGAACTATTGTCCTCTGGGTGGAATCCTTATATTGTCTCCCTCCATTTTCACAAGAGGACAAAACACAGTTATGGGAAACAAATTTAAGCCCCTCGAGTACTTTTAAGATTGTGATGAAGAGACAGTTGTAATAGTCAAATGGCTGAATATGTTTCTCTCTTTTGGGGCTTTTCCACTAGTTCTTTCTCAGCACGCCATGGGACGGCTCTCAGTATTAGCTTTGTTCAACCCAACTCTTTTTCTGGTAGTTCTTCCAGTATTTTTGCTCTTCCACCTGCGGCTGGCCCCACTAAACGGTCAACCTTTAGCCCCCACCTGGTCTGGGCTCCGTCGGTGCTGAGTCAGGCCCCTGATTGGCCAGGGAGTCACATGATAGGATAGTGATTCCACCCCGTGCACCCCACCCATTTAATAACCATCTGATCAAATCATTTCTGTGATCAGGTTTAGGTGGGAAGTGGTTCCCGCCATGTGCTTCCCGGGTGTCTGGAGCTGCTGGTGTGTTTGGTGTAAGTGTCCAGGCAGCCGTTTGCCGCCCCTCTGTTTGACCAGGCATGGAAAACCGACTTAACCGTGTAGCGTGGGGCCGCGTAGGCCGTTTAGGGGCTAAAGAACAGACCCACAATCTGTAAGTGACCTAAGCTCTGATTGCCATTGGTCATTATGTGCCTGGAGAGAAGACTGTTGACACAATATTCATTTATATCTGTGATCTACTGGTACATAAATGCCAAAATCAATCCCATTTTGTTTTAATTAGTATTATTTGATATTTAAACATGGAGCATAGTACAAAGAGTCAGTTAATTATGTTTTCCATGAATTAGAATTATTAAAATAAATAATAATTTAATAAAAAAAATAATTTCTGCCATAATGTATAGATAATATTAGGTAAGCAGAGCTGCTTTTATTAGTCTTTAGATTCTTACTTTGTTTAGATAGTTTTTGTAGGTGGCTATTTTTGGGAGTTAACATCAAATTAAAAGGGATTATACAGTATGAAGAGAGTTGGCTGTGATAAAAAAAAAAAAATGACTAGACCTTTTGAAGAAGTCAGAACAACAGAAAATGAGTTGAAGGAAGATGGCAAAGATGGAGGGATGATGAAGAAATACCAAAGAGAGAGTTGGGCTGAACAAAGCTGAGGTTGTTTTCATTGGGAGTCACCAGGAAGTCCTCAGCTTGTTGACAGACTTCTTAATTACCTCTGGCAAAACAGACCCGCGTGTTGTTGTTACAGATTGGAATTCACTGAAAAGTTCCTGGTTTCATATGGTGTTTACAGGTCACCTAATGACCATCCTAAACATGCAGCATTTTACAGGACGTACATCTTCCTGGGCAGTAATTAGAGCACTGAAAACGATATTAGAAATGGTCCAGGATGCGTTGAGGCTTCCAGACTGCGTTTAAAGTGTGAACGGATTGCTCGCCCATGCATACACAGATTCAAAGGGGAAAGTATATGAAAGGGTTCCCCCACTGTCTGCTTCATGTAGTTTCATTAGTAAGAAAAGAAATCCAGATGAGGCATGACCAAACGAGCTGATGAAAAGCGTTTAACATTCAGCTCCATGCCAGAGCTCAGATAATCAGATCATTTCTGAGAATGTGGGAAAGGCTGGGAGGACTCCTGTGCCCCATTTTATGGCAGAAACACTAAAGAGATCTGTTCGTTTTTGCTCATACTGTTTAGTCCTGTTGACTTGAGGCTTGGATTTGGAGCAGATTGGTGTATTGAGTTGTGCTTCCAGGCCTTTTGGAAACGAAAAGTGCTTGGCCACGGAGCATCTGAACTGAACAGGCTGAGATTCAAACCTCGCTTTATCAGTCATCAGAATAAAAGTTCATTTTTTGTCTTTGTTGATTTAATGTCTTGGAATGTGGGAAAGGTCTGATTTAATGGCCACGTCCCTGTTAAGGACAGCGTTTTTCATGTAGTTTGCTCTGGGGTTTTTCACATATCATCCACTCTGCTGATGTTGGTCTGTAGACTCAATGGCCAAAAGCCTTTATCACTATTTCGGGTGACTTTAACCACAATAGAAATAACCCACCCAGCTTCAAACTGCAGACCCTTCTGTATAGGTGTAGTCCTCAGTTGCAGAGGGCCAAATGAGCCACAAGTGTTTTGTTGGAATTTGGTGCTGTCTCTATAAGTAGGACTCGATAACGATTACTTCTGTGGTAAATTATTTTGCATGAGATGGAATATACATTGTGAATCAGCTTCTGTGGCTGTTTGGTTTCTGTAGCAATGTTTTACTACATGTCACGCTAGTCTAAAAAAGACAGGAATAACTAGGGAGGTAGTTATTCTAGGGAACTAGGTCATTTGTGTGTTTCAGGGAAAATATTTGACCAAAAATATGTTGAAAAACACACTCCTTTGAAGACTTAGCTCTGACTCCAACATGCATGCTAGAAAATCTGAACTGGTGAGAGATAACAAACGGGAGGAGGAGGGAGAGGGGAGGGGGGGATGCAGGGAGTTCACCACATACCTGATAACACTGAATGTTGTACACACTTTTCCTCTGGCCTGCTTGTTTTCGACCTATTTATCTCTCCTACCTGCGATTATGAGAATCAAGGCTCTCCAAATTACCCAAGAAAGTGGCTTTATATCACGCAAATCGTTGTAGAAAGTTAATCCTCCAGATTTTTGGATGCGATTGACATATTTACAGCTCTTATCTACAAATGAGTCCTTCGAGGCTTTTAACCTGAAGTACTCCGAGGGATGAATTTCTGAATGATGTATTATCACATTAGACCAATTTCCTCACAGCTCTTGTATCTAAATCTTCATCTGTTTTTGCTCCATGAGTGTAAATAGAGCCGGGTGGGGGTGTTATGACCTAAAAATGACAGCAGGTCACTGAAGGAATGAGGATATTGATGTAATAATGCAGATATCCTCAGCCACAACCCTTTTGGAGTTGATTCCCACTGCAACACATTCGGGTGGAGCTCTGCTTTGTGCCTGCAGCATATGGATGAATGACTTTTTCCAGCTCCAGATGTTCGGGTCCGGCAGGTTTCACGCATTGCATCCCAAACTGGAAACGTCCTCTGGTATTGCTGTTTTCACGGCCGACAAATGGAGGCCTGCGGGGAACATATATTTCATGACTGACTAATCGATGCTTCCTCACTGATTAGTTGTCAGCTCATTTACTGTAAAATAGCACGGAAAGGTCAGCCGTGCTTTGATAGATACTCACATGCTGCAGAGAAAAATGGACTCAAACACTTTATTTCAGAAGCTTGATCATAAGGTTGTGTTGTACTACACGTTGTTGGCCATGATATGGTTGTGTTTGAACAAAATGGGGCCACTATCACTGTCAGGCCCAGGCTGGGAACAGGATAAAAAAGATAGGCTTTATCATAAGACTGAAGAAGACTTTGGTTTCTAAGATTGTGTAAATGCTGTGGCAAGGCTAGGTTGAACGCTCAAGTTCCTGGAGAAAAGCTAACACACAGGCACAGGACAAAGGGAGACAGATTATGAGTCCACATGGAGGTGAAAAAACAGAAAGCAGCCAAGACAGTCAGACTGGTGACACATGAGGAAGAGCAAGAGACCTGAGACGAGAGGAGAGTTTCAAAATAAAACAGGAAATGACGAGACTGAAACATGAGAGCAGAAGTAAGAAACAAAAGCAAAACTCAGGACATGACACCAAACTGCTGCCATCCCTCAGATCTAAAGGATCCCCCCCACTTTTTTTGTTGTAATTTGTTAAATAGCTTTTTATTCTTTGTCTAAATGTTACTGAGATACACCACAGGTTCGGTTCATCTGTCTTGTGGAGCAATTTGGACTGGAATGCCCTTTTTAATGAGCTCAGTGGAATGTTTTGAAGGAAGTTTGAACAATTTCTCTTTGCTCTGATTTCATGTTGATGGTGTTTTGATGGCAACACAATCGGAAACAAAAGCCAAGTGAATAAATGTGAAAAATGAACATTTTGCCTACTTTTGCTTTAAAATTTTCCCCCGTAATTCTAAATACTGATAATTCCAGAGATAATAGGCCCCAAAACCACCAAAAGAAGACAAACAATTTGCAAAGGAGATTAGAAATCTATGCAAAAGCAGTATTTAAATGCTAGCTGGGCCACACGGGGAATTTCAGGAGGAAATTGGCGAAGAACTTCAGAGTTGAATGGCGGTTGTTGGGACTCGGGTTACATTTAATTTGGAATAGTGCGTTATTGTAAGTCTCCACCCCCCAGCTGCACATCATGTGGACCCAGTAGGAGAAGAGTGACTCTGTCATGATCGCATGTTCGTATATTTAGCTAGGTCTCTTCCAGGTTTGAAATCAACGTGTGGACCACACTGCCAGTTTACTCAGGAGAGAATTCTAGCATGAGCAGAGTTTCAGGCTTGGAAAAGGCGTGGCTCAAAGCGGCTTTCCGTGGCGTCCCCAGCTCATTTAGTCAGGCGGGACGGACGGGAGCCGGATTCTGTGTTGTAACCAGCTCCTCATTCTGCATTAACCACCTCAGATAGGAGGGGATTCGGTTGGTTCCCAGATGGGTGATGAATGTCCACAGCGGGCTGTCTGTTGGCTGGCCTTCAGAGTGATGACCAGGCACACAGAGCGGCGTGTCGGCTCCATGCACCCGACCCTGAAACAGCCATTTAATGGAGAACCAGCCTGGAATGTTGTGACCCGCTCCCTTCTGCAGGCAGTGCGTGGCTTTCCTGTGACGTGTGTGTGTGTGTGTGTGAGTGTGTGTGTGTGTGCTGTCGTCTCAATATGTGGTTCAGCAACCTGCCCCTGCAGTCAGCTGTCCAGGAAAGGGTTGCTGTCATTAATCACAGAGCCAAAACGGCGCAGAAAGGCGCTGGAGAGGGAGAGAGAATGGGCCAGCCGAGAGCTGTAACCCATGTGAGGCAGCAGGGGAGGGAAACGGAGGATCCTCAGCCTGAAATTCATTCAGCTTGATGCGACCAAGAGCTTCTATTCTAGCCGATTTAGAGATGTTTGGGCCTCTTATGGTAGAGTTTTTATCAGTCGCTACTTTAAATTCAGCCGGATAATTTTAAAGCTAGTCAAAGCTTTGGTCAACATTGTTTGCTTACCTGCACCCCAACAGGTTTAAACAATGGAGGTAAAATGGAGAAAAAGAAACTCAAATTGAACGCGACACCGTGCATTATATGGGCCTTAAATCTATTTGGTACAGGGCCTTCATTCCTCTGATACAAGTAAAAAAACACAATCATTGCCCAGCACTTTCTCCTTATAATGCAACTTTAACACCCTTTGTATTGTACACAAAATTCATTTTCTATCTGTATTTTATTATTTCCACATCTGGGAGCTCCTGTTCTGAAGGAGCTAATGATCGAGGTTCATCCAGGGTTTTGTTTGTGTATCAGATCCTGAGCACGATGCCTCAGATGAAAGTCCTCTGAAAGGATTCGGCTGCTCCAAAAGCAGACGCACCTGGTCTAAAAGCAAAGATGGGCCGCTGGTTCGGGAGTCTTTATGAAGCTTTCTGATTAACTGTGTTGTCGTTTACAGGAAGGACATTTTCTGGTGCGGACGCATCACGTTGAATACTGTGACGGAGGAATTCTGGACCCTGATGACATACTTACTGATCTGGTGGAGGACAAGGACAAGGTAAGAACGTGTCTACTGATGGTGTGTGTATTTGTGGTGTCTTTATGGTGTCTAATAATATTTGGTTTAATTGGTTAGTTGTTCAGAATTGAACTAAAATGACCTCTTAAACACAGAGGTGCTTAGGCAGCCAAAATAAAATAAAAATAAATAAGCAGGTGGAACAGAGTGTCTCCTTTAAAGCCTTTTTTACTTCCAACATGGTTCATCTATTGTTTCCTGTTCTTTCGTTATAAAACTGTCCTGAAAAAGTGAGCGGTCAGAGACCTGTTGTGTGTTTTGCGTGCTGAAGTGTGTGTTGTAGTTGGGTTCCCTCTCTTTGGCACTGAGCTGCACTACTTCAGGCAGAATATTGCTTCTCCAGCAAAATGTAAAGGTAAAGGTTTTAACTTGCCCTGAGCATCAGGCAGTCTCATTAACAATTTACTTTTGGCAAACCCGCTCCATATATTTCCATTTTTCATATTTTCCCCCAAGGAATACACTTTTTTTCATTAAGTCCCAAGAGAAGTGTGTTTTTTCTGCATTTTCTCTTATGCATTATTCCTGTGTGATAAGTTACTTTGCTTATGGGTTTTGGAACCACTTGTAGGGCCTTATATTAGTCTGGAGTTTTATTCTGGTTGCTCTTTAAAACAGTGAGACAGCGTCAACATGTTTTATTGAAGCTTTTTCTCTTTGGTTAGCAGAATTTTTCATTTCTGTTCTTTAGGACGTCTAAATGTTGCAGAATAAGTCAGACCTCTCTACTAATTAACAACAAAGACGCTGTAGTGAGTCATTTGCTCTGAGATAGTAAGTGCCTTTTGGAAGAATAGCTCCCTCTCTTGTGAACTGGCTCTGTTTTTCTGTGCATGTTCCAGTGATCTCGCCTTTTTGTTCACAAGAGCAAAGTATTTCTGGTCATGGCTTTGCTACTTTCAAATGTAAAAAGTCTATTATCTCACATCATATTCAGGGTTTTATTTTAGCATGGCCGTGTTAACGCGTCAAATATTGTTCACACATGACATTTTCTGAAAGAGTCCTCATTTCTTTATCCTGATCAGCCCTAATTTGTCCACAGGAGGTGTTGACATGGCGCACTGAGCCACTAAACTAAGTATGACTTACTGACTAGAACAATTAAGGAGCCCAGAGATCAGAACCTGATATAGGAGCCCATTTTAACAGGAGCCTGTTGCCATGGTTTTGCAGAACAGTGTGGACTGGTCCTGCTGTTAGCGTGTTGTCACTTGCCCTGCGTTGCTGTGCCCATGCTTGTAATGCTTTTTTATCAGGAGGTGTTACAGTCTGGAGCCGGAGGTGCGATCCGCAGTATAACATGAGCTGTGCATGGGTCCGGATTGGCTGTCAAAAATAAGGACGAGCGAAGATGGGATTGATTTCATTCCACTGGTTATGCAAGCAAAGACCACGTGTGTCTGAAATAAATCCCTTTGGCATTTTGTTTGAATGCTGAAAAAGTAAATGAAAATAATGGCCTCAAAATCTCCTCAATTAAATAAAAAAGCAATGTGCTGGTATTTAAACCAGTGCAGTTCTGAATATTTTCTGGATTTATTGTCTTTAGGTACGTCTTTATTTGTGAGTGGAACAAAAGAGGAATTTGGTTTGTGGTTGACAAAAAAATATCTCTGCAGGAGAGGATTGATTGGATAAGCGCTTAATCATTAGAATAGCAGTCCCACAGTTTAAAATGCTCTAACAGGTTTCTGTATAATTTAGCAATCATTAGAAATAAATGTCTTGTAGTCATTAAAAGCCATTTTTCATCTTTGTCTAAATTTTGTCTGTGAGAAAGAATCACTCATTTTGTGTTAACACTCAAACCAATTGTCAAACCCCACAAACACTTGAAAACACACTTTTCAGCTCATCGTATACATCAAACGCCGCGCACCAATATCCCAGAAAACACACGCATAGTAAGACAGTCACACACTGACACACACACACACAGAATAATACACCCCTGAGCACCAGAGATTGCATATGAAATGAAAGTGTGAAATATTCATTGGATTCTGAAGCAAGGCTCTCATAGTATTACTGAGCTGAGATGAATAAATGGCTCCTAATCCCAGATGAGTGTTTTACCGTAGGCAGTGTGAGTCTGCTTGGCTTTAGCTCTGCAACCACAAACAAAACCGAGGATATTTGAAATCTGCGGAAGACGGAGGTAAAAAAAAAAAGTGGTTTAGAAGGCTGAAATCTGCTGGTGCTTTATTGCATATTCGTGGGGGGGGGGTTCAAAGCTTTGACTACCGTATTTGAGGGGATATTTGTCCAGTGGTTGCAAATGTGGGTTCTACTTCTACCTCATTTACATTTGATCTGTATCTGGGTACATCTCAGCGGATTAGCTTCTGCACACCATTTAATAAAATGGATTTTGGCTTTTTTGATTCTGCCTCCGCTGTTATAAAAAGTTAAAGCGACTGAGGAGAACTGAGTGAGCCGGGTTTTGTGTCTCTCCAAAGGAAAGGTCTGGCTTGAGCACATCTTGACGCTGTATCACTGTGGACCTGGTGCATGCGTCCAGTAAAAAAGGACTTTTAACTGGTCATTTGTTGCTTCCAAAGTGCAACTGCATGATGAAGAAGTGTAAAGAATAGAAAGAAAAGAATGCATAGTGGTGGAGAAAGAGCAACAGTGTTCTTGGAAGAGGAGCGGAATGATTCCAGAAAATGGTAATTATCTAGATTGGACGTTTTCAAGCCATTTTATTGGGCTTCCAGTTGTCAGGGGACATTTTATTTATTCAAATAACATCCTAAATATTTGTGATGTGGTTAAAGGACTCTGCTGATTTTTTTTTTAGGGTCAGCTTTAATACATTTAGTGTCATCTGGGGTTATTATGGTTTCCCCACACAGAGTGAATGAAGTCAGTCCATCCAGCTGGGACTGTGGTGTCGTTTTTCTCCTCTCTAATCGGGGGTATGCTTACGACCCCAAACTCTGGAACCCATTGACAGACGTAATTGAATCTGCATCTGAATTGTCCTGTGTATTTGATAAAACACAGTTTACAGGGGCAGACGCAGAGCGAGGCCATTCTCTGGTAGGAACCTTCTCACTCTGCATTGTTTCAGTGACTTTTCCCAGGATGTGAATGATTTAAACACAATTAGTAGTTTTAGCTGATGCTATGAATTGAAGTGATAAAATAGCTTAAGCAATGAATGGAAACAGACGTACGGCTTTTCGTGTGTGTTCTTTGTTGTAATGCCAGCAGTGGAAACCCAAAATGATTCCCGTTGGACTCGATTAGCATAATTATTGCAGAACTGAAGCTTTTTCTTTATCTGCATATCTAATTATATTGAGATGATGCTCTCAGTGCCTGGACAGCTGAATGCATCTCTTCCACCTTTCTGTGACAACACAACACAGCAAAGGTCAGTTCTGTGCCTTTGGGCAGTTCAGGCTCTGGATGGCTGTGACCTGTGTCTCTGGACTCATCTACGTTTCAGTTATTCGGGTTGTATTGTACTGAATTGAGCTGTGTCTTTAACGAATATCACACATTTAGGCGATTTGTTGTACTTTTTGGATCACTAATTTTAGGGAGCGACGGCTTCCTTGAAGATCTGGCTTCGTCTCATCTTAGAGTCTTTGGTGTGAAGCGTTCAGGTTAGCTTCATGGTGGACTTTGTACCTGTGGTTCAGCCTGCTTGGGGTTTCTGTTTACGTTCCCAATGTGTCATGACTCTATGGAATGTAGATAATAGATCAAATATCATGTCTACTTTGCGTGGGAGACTGTTGCTAATAAAAGCTGTAAGTTATGTTGGAACGGTTGAAAAGATAAAGACAAAATTCAGTCCAGATTTCAGTAACTGTTGTATCCCAATACTCTGAACCCCCCTCATCTAGAATATAGCGGAGCTGGAATGTCGAGTGCCTTTGTGTGTGTGGTTTCTGGTTCACCTTCAGCCCACCACCCAGTAACCCTCCCACATCACACACACACACTCCCTCAAACACATTTTACTCTCCATTACCCAGCTGTCTGCTTTGCATGTTATTTTTCGAGCCCACTCACAGCCAAAGAAAATGAAAAGTAAGCAGGAAAGATGGATTCCCATCAGCGTTTTTTATGTTGCTGGAAGTGTGTTTCCTAATGCGTTTCCCCGTCTGCATGCAGGAGGGGGGCCTGTTCACAGGTTAGCTGCAAAAGGGGGGCCTTTGTGTCCTGTTGATGGAAGCTCTGGGACATCAAGACTATGGACAGTTGATTAGATGCATGCAGTCTACTCTGAGCATTAACAAAACTATTTGAGATCAAAAAAGCTAATCCGCACACGTTAGAAGCATCCATGCTGAAGGCCCACCAGCTCTCACCTGTGAGCAAACGGAGAGGACAACACTAGTGACATCCGTTCTACAGCAAACCGTTCATCTGTTAGAGACTAAAGCCGGTGTACACTGTGGGATGTTTCCAGTCGTAGCTCGTAGCTCCAGCTCAAACTGCACCACCAAATCGTAGGGGTCAAAGTTCAGAAGTTCAGAAACGTTTGAAGCTCCAGTCACTTGGCGGCGCGACCACGTCATGCCTTCGAGCGATTTCATCAAAATGATGATAAACTGCAGTATAACTGTTAGAATAATGACAATAACATGACGGGAGGTTGGGTTTCAAACAAAAACTTTTTTTTAAATTTGTTGATACCCTGTTTATTTAGCTTGTATTTGATATAAAAACTTTATTTGCCAACCCGTCCTAACCCACGGAGCTGAGCCCACGACGGGCTTTTGATTTTCTGATGCCCGGACAGTAAAGTGTGCACGCCGGTCATTTCGTACCCAGCTTCTCCTCACCCTGTGTGTATGTCACCCTGTGTGTATGTCACCATGTGAGACGCACCGGGAGCTGAAAATCCTGATCCAAGAGATTCTCACACGAGTGAAAAATTGTGTCAAAAAGGGGCAGAAACCGCAGCGTTTGCCCGGCTTTAGTTGTGTTAGATGTTAGGTGTGAGTGTGTTTAGTTGTGTTAGATGTTTGGTGTGGGTG